CCGTTCCCCTCCTTGGCCCCGGTGACGCAGCGCTGCCGAGCGGGTTTGCGGGCAGGACGGGGATCCAAACAAGGAACAAAAACAGGTGGAAAAGGCTCGCCTGCACGGCTGGCAAAGCCAGGAATAATGCCACGTCTTGGAACGCAGTAGCTGGCAGCGACTCCAGGCTCTCCCCGTGACATTTCGGCGTTGGGTGGCAGGAGGAGACGGGTCCTTTCACTGCTCCTTCCCTCGGTGTCTCAGCGTGGCGACTGCTGGCACGTGCTCGTTAGCGGAGCTCGGAGCAGCGCAGCAGTCTGTCTCTGTGGGGAGATGGATGCTCATGGTAATGTGCATTTTCCGCGGGGTGTTTTCTGCTTGCTTTGGAGCAGCGTGGCATTTCAAACCAGAGGCTGGAGCCAGGTCATTGCCAGTGAGTGACACGGTCACTGCCCATCGCTGCCTGCCATGCTCTGGTTGGGACATGCGCTAACCTCTGCCACGAGACCACCGCCGCTCATCTCTAAAGTTATCTGCAGTGGGAGGGCACTCGTAGCTTATGAGAGAATTGGTAAAAGCGAGGTCCTTGGGTAAGGTGTAGTGCGGCGAGCAGCGGGTCGCTGAGTGCGTGCGGCCGTCCGCAGAGTGAGCGGAGCCGGTGACGGTGCTGGGTGTCCATAGCCCGTCCAGCGAGCTGCGAGTTACCTTCGGTGCCGTCACACCACAGCGAGGCGGGAGGATTTCTGTGTTCCCTAGCATTTGTAGTGCACAATTCTCTGCTGCATAAACAAAACAAGTTTATCGGAGTGCAGGCACAGAAAGCACGGCTGGTGCCTCTCTGGGGCTGTGGTTTCCACGTCCTGGGTGTGAGAACAAGAGTAGCTGAAAAGTGTGTTTTTTAGGTAGGCGACATTTACAGTGATTTATGGGTAAGTTTTACGACATATGAGCATGAAGGAAATGTGGTAGCCCTGTACAAATCCCTGTCAAACACACATATGGTGTCTAGTCCTGTGTGGTGACCAGGAGCACTGACATCGTGGCTTGTCCTTATAAACACAAACCCGTTTGTGACAGCGTCCTGGGAATCTTGCCCGTCTGTGTTTCCCACCGCACTTCTGAGGTGCTCGCTGAACTCGGCCACCTTGCTTCGTTTGTTGATTGACATCTCTTACTGTGTCTTGGTCTTTGTGGAGACCCGTGGTCTCACGCTGGAGGTTTCCTCTTGGCTTCCTATGCTGGGGGTTTGATGTTGCAGTCAAAGACTTTGAACATTTTGGTTACCAACTGGTGGTTATTGCTAAAGGTGAGAGCAGCGAGTTGTGAAATTTCATAATGCTACTGTCACAGTCAGTAACCCCCCAGGTGTTGAGCTGCTTTTTCTCCCCAGACCTCTTGTACAAACGTAGCATGGTAACGCCAAGGATCTCGTACAGGTGTCTGCGTTAGAAGAAAGTCACCCTTGAACAGCCCATAGAAACTTTCCTGCTGTAAATACTTGGTCCAAGAGAGCAGGTAGGCAGAGTTGCTTCCACGTGCCCTTTCCAAGGGAACAGCCCTTACACTGTGCTGTCTGTTAGTATTTTTTTGGTACTCAAACGCGGAATTTAAACTTCTGTTTTTGAAAGTGCAGTATAGCTTGGTGTAAGGTTGAACAGGCACTGGGGTGGCGGCTGGGAGGCAGCCGGGAAGGAAAGCCCGTCCCTCCAAAAGAGCCAGAGGCTCTGTCCCTGAGTTTAAAGAGCCGTTTTGTAAATAACTTGTCAGGGAAAGGACATCTCTTCTCTCTTTTTCTATTTAAAGCTGAACCCCATTTTCTTTTTCGGGTGATGTGCCACGTCTATCTTTTTATTTTTCCCTGTTTAAGCGCTACATTTTAGCCTGCTGAAGTGACATTTGGCTAGAGTCAGTCTCTGCTGACAACTGAGGGACAACTGCCCGGCTTTGTCCTTCGTTGGGAGGAAGCAGACAGTGGTGATGGAGAAGGCAAGACGAACTGTGGGAGGAGGCAGTGCCTTTGGCAGGAACGGGTGGTGGAAATGGAGTTAGCTCATCTGGGAGTGAACGAGTTGGATCCCTCTGCTATTTCCTACTCCCGAGGTGTTGTCATGGGCAGGATATTCTCTTGCAACAATTGGAGGGTTTTGGATTGCTTCGTGGGGATGAGCAAGAAATTACCTTTGGATTGAGGTGACTGTCACTCCACAGCATCAGTTGAATGTGACCTGATCCAGCTGGCCTTTGCTAACAACTTTTCTTTCTCTGATAGAGATGAAGATGGAGCTATGATAAAAATCACAATCCCAGATATGAAATGTGGTGGGAATCGAGCAACAGCTTTTTTATTCAATCACAGCTTTAATTTGGCAGATGTTCACTACAGAAAGTGAGAAGCCTCTTGAAATCACAGATTGAGATAGTAGTAGTAGCAGTCTTTATTTATGTTATCCTCTGGCCTCAGTCAGGAATCACAAACGCTGGATGAAAGCTAAATGACTCCCTGTGCTTCCAAGAACTTACACTCTGAGAGGTGGAGGACAGCAGTTTCCAGGATGAGGCTCCAGTGGCTTTCCAAACACCTGTGACGTCCCTTTTTGTCAGTCGTGTTACCCAGCCACAGCGGGCGTCTGCAGGACACCTGTGCTGAAGTCAGAGGCTACATCTAGTGATCGTCACTGCACACCACACTGCTCTGAAAAGACAAAGCTGGCAAAGGATAGGGAAAAGGGCATCTTTTACATTTATAAAGAGAAGGGTGAAGTTGGAGAACTGCGGTGGCAAGTCCGGTTCTTCATAGAGAGCATGAGACGCTCTGAATATAGGGGGGGTTTATATCCCCCTCCCTCCTCCGTGGTGCAGTAGAGCAGAAGGAACTGTATGGTAGTCTGGTAGTCGCCTGTAGGTGAAGTGAAATGGGCTTTTCAGACTGCTCAGTCCACCCCAGTCGCGGCTTCATTTCAGGTGTCACAAACGATGAAGCAGCAGAATCCAGCACTGCAGGAATGGGGGTGTAAGTTTTTCAGGAGAGTGACTCAACTCTTCTGTTGTCATCAGCTCAGCGGTGGCAGAAAGTGGAACTAGATGGGGTTTGAGTGGGATGGAAACAAATGGGATGCAGGATGTGTCAGTGTCTCAGTTAACCAATGCCTTGCAAGGAAAATGTCTTGCAAGACCGGCATGGCTATTGCTGTCGTCTGGCGGGACATTTTCATTTCTACTGGGCAGACCAAAACCACTACGTAGAGCAGATGGGTTTGTGGGCACTTAGGAGACAAGTTTAGCTGTTGGCCCCCAGCTCACTCCTGGATGGTCTCTGAGAAGTGAATTGTTGGTTAGTACCTTCAAGCCACGGAGTACAGTTTCCCCAGGAGTCCCTGCAGTTCGGCTGGGAAGATGCATCGGTTTTCCAGTCTCCTCGCTGGGTTTTCCCGTCCTTACCTCCCACCACTGTGTAGGTGAGGAGGAGAAGGAGCAGAGGTAGGGGAGAACCTGCTAAGGTGACTTGGTGGTGTCAGGTGAAGGAGTGAGGCACGAGCGTGCAGCTGATTTCATCTGGACGGATGGATGGCTTCCGATTTCCCTGACTGCCACCAGTGCAGCCGTGCTGGGGCTGGTCACTGCACTGCTCTTCCCAAGCCAGAGCCAGTCTCCTGTGCAGTGATGACCAGCACTGGTCAGACACGTGTGGTGTATCTGTCTTGCTCTTTTGTGGTGGCAGTGATCAGTGGAGAATAAAAGACGACGAGGAGTTCTTGCCTCACAAAGGATTTCTGTGGAGCTGTCACGTCAAGCCGGCTGGAAATGCTGTGCCCGTAGTTGTTTCCATTAAAAATGTTGGGCTTTGCTGAAGTGAAAATAGTGCAAAGAGTACTGGCTTCAGTTAAGTTTCTCTGGGCAAACAGTTCTCTGTGAAGGTCTTTTCTTTGGTTGGGTGGTTTGGGTTTTTTTTGTTTGAGTTCCATGTTTGATTTTTATTTTTTTTAAAGTTCTGATATAGAAAGTTTCAGTTATTGTAGAGGTCTCCATAACAGCATGACGGTGCAAATATTTTCTAATTTTAGTGCACATGAAAATTATGAAAATTAGCAGAAAAATAAAGCAAACAAGATGACCCCAAACTGGAATTTTGACGTACAAAGTCACTGAAAAGTTTCTTTCATTTTGTGGGAGTCATCAAAATCAATTTTGTGCTGACACCTGAAGGAGTGAAACCGTTTTGTTTCTCTTCGCTGCCTGAATTGAGCCCTCATGGTAACCGAAGTCGTTGGGTAGATGACTGTGATGGGCTTTCATTGCAGTCCCTGGTGCCAAATCCGAGGGGAACGCGTACACGGAGACTCGTTTTGGGAGGTATCTGCAGTGTGGAGCTCAGCCCCGCTCCCCGGTCCGGCCGGCGCAGCAGACCCGTGTCTGAGCAGGAGCCTGTGCTGGAAGGGGGGAGGCTCTTGACAAGGCCGGGATGGAAGGGCGCTGGAGCCCGGGAGAGGAGGACCGTGGGTTTGCAGGACGGTTGCCCTCAGCCCGTGCTGCTGAGCTGTTGGGAGCTGGATGCTCGCGTTCAGGAAAGCATGCGCTGGCTGCAGCGATGCCCTGGCTCCGTCTGCCTGTAATTGCGTCAGGGACAACAGCGGCGATGCTCTTCCGTGCTGAAGGGCATGGGTATGTATATCTGATGGGCTGGGTGGTATAAGGGCGAGTTAGGAGGTCGGTGTTACCTTGCTGAGGCAGAGAACAGCTTCCTAA